TTTTATAGAAATTAAATTTTATTATTTATTATATAAATTATTTTAAATTAAAATAATTAAATCCTTTAGTCCACTGTATGAAGTCATCCTCTCTCTCTCTCTCAAAAAAAAGCAAATCCGATACTTACAAGTCTACAAGTCGTTATCTCTTTGCCGCTATGCACCGGCATAGGACGCCCTGACCAATCCCATTCTAAGAAAAGTGGCAACTTAACTTACACAACAGCTAATGAGAATTTTCAAAAATGTACTGCGCCCTGAAAAACGTTTTGTTTCTTGTATTTTTAAAAATATATTATACTTATTTTTAATATTAAATTTAATAAATACATTGTTTTGAAATTGACAACTCATTGCAAAAGGGGTAAACCTCATAACACATTATATTATATGGTATTACAATTGATTAAAAAGTGATTGTTCATACTTATTACATTATGTTCCATTTTATACATAAACTAAATATTATGTAAGTTGTTATTTGACTTTTAGATGTTACATGTATGTAATACATATTGTTTAATGAACCAATCTGAACAACTCACAATGTTTACTAATGAATTAATGAGTAATAACAAATATATATTATCAGCAGGTTAATTTATTTATTACTCGCTTAAACAAGTGTTATTACATTATGTTTATTTTTAAAAACATAATTTGTATATATTGCTCTACCAGCTTACAATTAGGTAAACCATTTCATCCCGGTTCAAAAAAAGACTAAACTGCTACATTTATAAAAAAAACATGTATACTTAACTACTATATCTATAAATGACAACTCATACTGTTGTACACCATATATTACATCACAACGAATTAATAACGGAATATCTAAATAAAAGATCACTCGTCTAGTTATCCTATAATTCTAAAAAAACAGGTAGCATTAAAAAAAAAAAAATTATCTACTGTCATAATTTATTTCATAATATTGCAAGTATAACAACCGAAAGATACAAGGGAAAAATCAGAAAAGTCACATTTTACAACAAAAAAAACATTGCGATTTTAGTGTCGTAAAGTTCATTGCGTTTTTAAAATATGTGAACTATTTAATAAACATTTATGGATTAAAAAAAAAGAACTCATGGTTTTTAGCCTATCCTTTAACTGTAATTTACTACAATCATAGTTGTAATATATTATTATTTTAGATTCGCATACAACCGTATTGTAACTATTGTTAGGTATACTAAATACCAATCAGAAACGGCGTTATGTATAGGCGACTCAACTAACACAGCAGCAATTCGACACGGTTTGTTTTAGCGTAGAAAACAATTATTAGGCAAATATAATAATTTTTCTTCCTTGTTTGGCACTACAATATAATAATCTTACTGTGATAAAAATGTGGTGTTTATTTGTTATTTTTGCAACGCAGCTGTGACAGTAAGACATAACCGTACACGTTCCAAGAGAATACGTCATATCAGTCGCAGAGCCATATTGTTCGTCCTGTACCGTTACATTTATTTCACGTTTTTTATTATTATTCTCATGCTTTTTTTTTTTTAATTTTTTTTTTGTCGCTTATTGTTATTTTATCATTCAGTACAAGTCGTTACAGTTCTCTTTTTGGTTTTATATTTTAGAACTACGAGCCCCGGGCGTATTTCAGTGTTTAAGGTTAATGACACAAGAACCCGTTTTTTTGTTAGCAATTTTAACAGAAATAACAAGTAGACTAAATAGTGTCTTTGCTATGTTTTCATCGTGGGTTATTAAATAAATATTAATGGTTTATTTTATAATGTATTTACTTTAAACCAAATCAAATTTATTATATTATGCCAAATAATTAATTATGAATTTTTAATAAATTAAGACGTCCGGGTAAACAAAAGAGGGAAAATTGAGTGATGTTTTACTCTAAAATAAATCAGTCAAAGCTGAAGTTTCGGTAAAAAATAACCCACCAAGTCTGTTGACTTGTATTAGTTTAAACTTCGGCAAATATTAAAAAAATGTATGAAACTTAAAAAGTTATAAAAGTAAATAAATTCGATTTTGTTGTCTGAAAACTTTTAACTGAAATAAGTCAATATAGAATCTATTGGTATTAAGTGAATTTTTCCTAAGTTCAATAACTTTCTACTTTCTGCACATTTTATATTTGTTAGTATCATAGGTACAATTACATAAATACTAGAAGCCTGTTGGAACTATATAGGCCGTTTTGAAAGTGTGGCAGTTTTATTTAATGGTGTTTCAAGTTTTGTAAACAATAATATTCAGTTTCAATTTTCATAGTATTAAAAAATGCAGTGTGAGATTTATTTTACATACTCGATGGACCGCCTTGATAAGTGCTGCGTGTTATTTACCATAATGATTACTTATGGGTATATTATGAGGACGGTGTTAATACCATTTGATATTAAGTACCATAGATTTTATCTAATTTTTCGTAAGCAATGTACCTAACTAATAACCATTATTATTCTCGGTGTCGAAACATAAACGTTGAGAATTAGAAATCTGCACGAATTTTAATATCATACTGCCTTGGTAATTTATATATTATACTAAATCTTGATTTTATCATTAAGAAAACATTATTCAAAGTAATTACAAGTAAAAAATGATTTAGGAATGTTGTTGTAGTTAGGTATCTATAATCCAATACTCGTTCTCGCATTAAAATAAACTTTAATGCTAACCTTCAATTAAGATGATGTACTACTATTTGAAATAGCAAATTTTAAGGTAGGTACCTGAACCATGTATAATAATTGTGTGTAAAATCATTATCGCAGTAATTAAAAGTGTCATACACGTCAATGATTTGTTTTAAAAAATGAATGTTGGATTACACTTTACATAAAAAATTTAAGAAAATTATAAAAATGTTGTTTACCGCTGTCAGGAAAAAAGAACACCTCTATACTATATGTTTTTATATATTATCGGTATTATAATAACTGTAATGATTCGTAAATTTCTTTTCTCGTTTTCGGTAATTTTGGATAGCTATGCATTCTAGAATTACTTATGCACATATCTTGCTATTAGTATCACATAATGAGTTACCAAGTGAAATTAAATTGTGTATTCTCTACTAAACACATGTAAATATACATAAGGGCCTAAGCAATTTTAATAATTATTAATAAATAATACATTTAAATATTTCCTTTGATAAGGAAAAAATAAAAATAACAATTAAAGCTACAGCAATTTTTGAATTATTTATATTATTTATCATTTATATATTATCCAATAAAATTTATGTTTATATTTATAAATACAGGATTTAATTTGATTTTGATTTATTTTAGTATCGATTAGATTTTCCAAAGTTCAAAAAAAAAAAAAAAATATTGTAGGTATGATTCGAATTACAATTTTTTTTAAAAATGTATTTTACATGCACAGTAAAAATAATAATAAAAAGAATACCTACGTTTATATTTGTAGAGGTTTAAAAGGGAAGGGCGGATTACACTCTCCCTTGAGCCAGTTCCGTGTAGTCATAAGAAGCTTTGGGCCTTTATGAAAATTTAAAAAATGTATTTATCTGTCACTCTATACAATGTAATTATTGGCAATCCCTTGTGTCACGATATTTTATTTTTTTTTTAATAATGGAACTATTTACACCGGCGTTTGATAGCGATAATCTAGTAGGGGCTATGGAACAAATAGTGCCTGTTTAAAAATTTAAATCATTGTAGAAGTGTAAAGTAATAAAACAAATACATGGAGTTTTACAACTGATTTTTTTTTTACTCACAACTCATAATAAACTTGTTTTATGTTAAACATCTATAAAAGAGATTTATATATATATATATATATATATAAATTACTTGAAAAATTAAAAACTTAGTGAAATGTAAAAATTTACTTGCAAATATATTAATTATTTTCTCTTTATTAATACATACATCTGGTTCGCAAGTCGCACCTTATTTTAACCATTTGCTCCAAGTTGTCTTGGGACATGACCGTACGGAGTAAAGAATTTAGTCTTAATCAGTTAAGCTTAGACAATTAGTACCTCTTAACAGTACCGAAAGAGTAACAGTTATTTTGAACGTTAAATATAAATTTTGAAAAAACTGTTTGAAGTGATGCTGTACATAAAAAAGTTAAAATAATTTCCCAACACTATAACTAAATATCGTCACGTAAAATCCCTGAAATGCAACATGTCTTATATACAGGCACGTAGCCAGAACATTTCTATTGGGGTACTAACAATTTTGGACCCATGGATAATTTTCCATATTTTCCAATGAAAAACCACTAAGTAGTCCATTTATTATTATGTCTATAAAATAGGCCCTATTATTTATCTTTTCAGATAACGTTTTCTATGAATATAAAGATTAAATGCAGTCATAATAATAAATGTGTTACCTTATAGTAATCACAATAGACTTATTTCTAGTTGTATAATAGCACGTTTTTGATACTTATTAATTATATTTTGAATTTGGGGAGCTGGCTCTAATCCAGAGTTAATCTAACGGGGGCCAGGCCCACCCAGGCCCCCCCTTGGCTATATGCCTGCCTATATAGTTAGTTATTAAAGAAAAAAATTGTTTGATGTATGCAGCTAAAATTGCTAATTTAACGGTTGATGACTGATGTGGTAAACGTATTTTTTTTTTTAGATAAATACTTTTTTTTTACTTTTTCGCCAAATTTCTGATCACTTAATCTCTGTAAAAAGAAAATTGTTTTCCCCCCGGTCGTCTGAACAAGGACCACCGAACTCTGGTGCGATGTCCGTATATTGTACCGCGGCGGCACGCCGGCGGTGGCGTCTGATCGTTTGGCGGAACGGCACGTGGCCACCGCATAAACGGGCGGCGGGACCACGTGACCGGAGACGACGGCCACCAATGACGGCCGTGCGGCGGGCGGCGACCAATGAGCGCGCGCACCGGCGGCCGGGCGGCCGACACGGGGGCGGGGGTCTCGCCGTCAGCCGCCGTGTGCGCGGGTGGAAGCAAAGAAGACAGCGGCAGTCTCGTACGCGCGGACGGACCGGTTCACGTGTGATCGAGTCCACACGTTGAAGTCTCCCGTGTGAACATTATTTTATCGTTTTCGATTTTTTTACAAGGTTTTTTTTTTGTTCAAAAATATATTTTCCCATTACGTTTGTTTGTTCGTCCCGACCGAAATAGCTCGAATAGCACCGGCAATGTGAGGCGCCCGCCAAAATCTGCAGTGCGCATCATCATCAATCTGTATCACATCGTGTTTACGACCGTTTACCGAATTTATAATATTACAGTGTTAAAAGTCGTACCGAAATCAAGTTTCGTCTTGTGCGTTTAATTTTGCATATTTCGCACTGTCATCGCACCGTCCACATGGATTTTCAGGCGAATTCGTCAAACATGTTCACCAGGTAAGTTTAAAGCACGATTACTTACGTACTACCGATCGAATGCTAGATTCGTAGTGACTATAATATACATACCCATTTCTGTAAATATGAAAAATATCGTAATTTAATTTTGAAATTATAACCAACGAAAACGTCAGAAAACCATCACAAAAAATATGTCTCATAATTTTAAGTTTAAATTTTCTATTAGCAATTAATTGTTATTAAAAAAAAATGTAATGTGCTTAATGGATACTGAGGTACTGCTGTAGTACGTCTAAGTACCTGTGTCGGTTATGAAAAAATTACTTTAAAGGAAAAGCCACGACGTCTCGTTAGATAGCCGGATTTTTATAATTTTGTTTTTTTTTAAAGAAGAATATTTTTACAATTCTCACTAAATTTGGATTACTAAAAATTTAATTTCTGAAGGGGTTATGAAATTGTAAATTTTACAGATTTTTTTTTAAACTTACGTTTGTTATTTGATGTGAACGAATTGAAAATCGAAGAACTATGCAAATAGCAAACTGTGAAAAGTTTTTATTTAAAAAAAACAAGTATCAAAATCTCATTACGCTATAAGGTGACATGGTTGGTAAAAGGACTTTTATATTAATAAAGTTTACCAATAATTAAACAACATCAAAGTATCGTTGCAACTTCTTGTGTCTAGGTTCATTTAGCTTAATATATGCAGTCTGTGTAAATTTACTTTACAAATATTATACCTACTCGTTTTTCGTCTTTTTAATTTAACAACAAAATAATAAGAATTTTACTGGCAGCCAATAGTCAAAGAAAAAACATTTTTTATTAACTGCTAATACTTAATTGTCTTACATTCAGCCTTTTAAATAAAAATTATATATTCCTTTTTATTTAAGATGTTTTATACAACGATTGGATAACAATATTATGATATTGTTACAATATTACAATATTATGATATTATGATATTTAATAAAATAATTATAATATTACCTAATTAAATTGCTTAACATATTTTAGTTTTATGGATGTCCAAAATGTAGATTTTTCGGTGTCTTAGAGATTGTCGTTATTTAACTCACATATTGTTCAATCATTTCAATAATTATACGATTTATGAATGAGAAATAAATAACCCCATATAATATATATTTTATGCCTATTTTTAAACTTGAAACTGAAGGTTGCCTCCTAACTCTGCTTAACGTACCATTAATTTATTTATTAAAATAGGTTTCATAGATTAATTTCACACTACTTACCTAATAACTATTTTTTGGGTGATATATTGATTAGGATACCGTCTCTTAGAGTTTCTCTTCAATCAAGTTCATGCAACAGACTTATGTTCATGACTTATGATTTTAATTTTTACCTGTGGCCTCAAATCCACAAATATTTTTTATTTAATTTAAAATACAAGACGAATTAAATTAAAATAATCTTACATGTTAAATTAATTTTTTTGTTGCCTTCGCTTTTAATGGTAAATTTCTCGAACCTCGGCTAATTTTGTTCAGTTAAAGGTTGTCAGTCCTACGACCAATCTCCATGTCTTAGAGAATAGAACTGTTGCTATAATTTGTTTATATTTATCATATAGAGTATCAAAAGATTAATCATATCCTAATAGAATTTGCTTAGGTTGAGGGATAGTTATGTGACAAATAACCTTCCTTCGTTGGTTCTGTATATAAAACAAATTTGTTTTGTCAAGAGGAAATGCAAAACCTATTATTTCGTATTTTTCTTTTAATTTCCAAAGAAAATTTAAGTCTTTAGTTCTGTAGAACAAAGTTAAATAATTTCTTGTGGTTGTGTCTTAATCCAGTAGAGGTTTATAATATTAATAATACAATTATTAGTTTATAGTATTTAGCTCTACAATAATGAATTAAATAAATAAGTTTGACCGAATGGATATTATGAAATAAGAAAATCGATTTGAACCTTTTTGACCGTGCACAAAGTATAGCTAGTATTCCAAAATTGTATCACAATATCTAAAGAATATTTGTTGTAACCTATATAATAACACAATATTATACTTCACGGTAATTTCTGGAGTTGGCGTTAAACGTATTCGATTATTTGTTTTTTTTTAGCAATTAGCATATAATGTACTTAGGTATTGTATATGTAATTTTTATTTTTAGGTGTTGTTGTGCCCCGTTTTGGTTTTACTGTAAGTCAGTACCGGTTTAAATAAATCGACTACAATTATTTTAACCATAATATAAAAATAATACCTTTTTAATAATTATTAAACATCAGTTAATATCAACGTTTGGCCATAATTTTATTAAATACACTGCGCTTATAGGGTATGTCAAGGTTTTTAAGAACGTTAAAAAATGTTAAAAATATAAAATTTATCTATATTACTAAACTATGCCCGCAATTTATGTAGAATTTGTGAGTCATTGTATCTTTGTGTGACAATATTTACAATAGATAGATACTATAGATACTTATCTATAGATATCGTTTTTATGACAGATATTAATCAATTAAATGTAAAAAAAAAAAAATAATATTTACAAAATTTGGTTTAAAGTAATAAAAGAATATGAACCATGTATATATTTGTACACAAGGTCTCATCATAGTAGAATTTGTAGCTAAAATTTAAAATTATTAGCTTTATTTTTAAAAAATTGTTTAGTATATCTTTACAAAAATATTAAGATTAATTCCTAAAATTTGAATTCATGTAAAAAAAATTAGGATGTATAAATAGATATTTTTTTACTTGTATAATTGATTTTGTTTGTGGCTTACAAAAACAATTAATATTTGAAAATACAAGAGGGGTGGATAATTGTAAGTAAAATAAGTGGACATAAAAAAAATATATAGGGACACAATACATCTCTAGTTAGAAAAATTTAGTTAGTCCAACTATATATATTTAGTAATTCCAAATAGAAATAATTTTAGTTGGACCAACTATGTATTTTTTTCCAAGGAGGGTTAGCATCCTCTCCCACACTTCGCCAAAAAAAATATATTTTGCTAAAATCGGCATAAATTAACAAACAACTATTGTAATTATTTCTACTATATGATAATCGATCGATTATTACTAATAGATGTATAATAATTGAGTCAGGCGAAGTGAGGTAAACGACGGATTTGAAAGGCTTAGATGTAATCCGTACAAGATATGAAACCAAAACGGCAACAGGCACCCTGCCAGCTCGGCAACCAAATACGCGCCGTTGTCTTGGGGTTGGGGAAAGCAAATCAACTCGAATCATATGTTCACACGTGTGCATGTGTGTGTGATCCTTCCAACCCAGTTATTAATATACCGATACGGTCGTCTGCAAGATATTATTATGGTATACGGCTCGTATTATAAGAAGATATCCGAGTAGGATAAGGTGTAATTTTGTTCATCTTCCTTCTCACTGGTCGACTTGCATGTACGCGACCGTTGAAGTCTCTCCATATACCGATCGACCTTGGCCGGGGCACGTTACCGACGGATTTTTCATAATCGCCGTGGACGGTACGCGTCGGTATTTCGCACTTATATATACTTACACAGCAAACCGTTTAAGAACTTACCCGCCGAACGGGGAAAAGAATTACACGCAAGACGACCGTACGGTTCGCTGTTTATAATAAACGGCCACAGCAAAAGGATATGATGTAACAATATCAATACCGTTCGAATCTATAGCTTGCGTGGATATAATATACGTACCTACTGGGAATCGAAAATCGAATCTTCGTATCATATATTTTATTATTATTATTATACATTAACATCGGTGTACAGCCATCTGTTGAGCTAACTATACCGTGATTGATTTGGGCTGTATGCCAATGACGTATGACGTGTGTACCTATGTACACGTCTGTCTGCAACGATCCAAGGGCACGGGTGTTCCCATCCTTAAGTCAGAACTGATGCGCTGTTCCCGCGTCGTCCAATACAACTATTACTGTACAACCGGTCAGTACAATATTATAATACAGGTGTACCGTAAAATAAACAATCTGTTAAGTAGGTTTTATTAATATATTTATATCTTTACTATATGTGTTCACGTTTTAGTGCCTTAGAAGTGATAACGCTGTACAGTTAATTCGTATTGTTTGTCTTCAGGTATAGCAGCTGATTAACGGGTTAGCTAATTTATTCCTTTAACAGTTTAACGCAATCTACCCATTTCGTTTTTCAATCGCCTTCTCCTAAATAACTTTTATGGCTGTGTCTCAATTTCATTTTATCAGTTGCTATTATTCAACTTCTATAAACCATTAGAGGTTCTATTTGTGAACAAAATATATCCTTGGCGTTTCCATCGTCCTGTGTTCCCATGAAGTCTGATTTCCAGTCTGAAAAAAGTTTTGAATTTATCATCATGTCTTCTGTAGCTTGTGATATTATTGTTATTGGCTACTTTTTCTTATATTTGTTTTCATTTTAAAATAGTTTTTGTAAAAAGAAAATTGTTTAAATCGCTATTCTTAACCCCCTTAAGATATATGTTTTTCTTATGCGTTACCATGGCAACAATTAATGTGTTATATTTAATTCGGTTTTGACGAAGTTATTGCTTATTAGCCATTGATTTATCTATGTATGATAACATACTTTTATAGGCACAAATAGTTGTCGTTTTTCTCACTTGCAAATGTGTTAACATTGGTTTCAATATATTATCTTCGATCGTTTAGAAATTACATGTTTTCTCGCATATTACAGTCACATCACAACAGCTATACAGTATAGAATATAATATAGGATTATAAAAAATATTTAAAATAAGTATACACGTGCCGCCACACCGCCGTTGACTTATTAACAAATATCCACGCCCCTTCGTGTTTATCGGAAGAGAGTTAATTTCTATACAGGTATATACAATCGCTTAGTATAATATGTTACAATAATTTTATCAGTGATCATCTCTCTCTCTTTCTCTTCCTCTCGGTCCAGAAACCAATGGGAACTATTTATGTATACACACAAACAAGAGGACTATTAAATACATAATCGTTTAGGTATATAGGAC